AAGACATTTTCCTTTATTCTTGCCACTTTGAAAAATTAATTTTTTAGCTACATAAATTGCATTTAATAACAAGTAGTTTACAAATTTTAAAAAGTTTTCCGACCTATAGTAGTTAACTGTAATGCGAAAAAATCAACTTTTACATCCTGAGCAACCCTTCTCTTAGCATTCAAAGGAAATTGACAACCATGCCGATGACTAATTTTCAACAATAACTTTACTGTAGTAAAAATAACTTATAACTTCTAAATTTTCAGTTATGTGTCGTTAAGCGAGAATTCAAACAAGCCGGAAATAGAAACTTTTCTTGAAGGCGCAGTTTACAGGCAAATGCAAGTTTTTCATAGATAGCTCCTAATCCACCAGTTTGATTGAAAAATATTGTAACCATAATAGCAGGAAATAACAATTTACTGAACTAAATGTGATAGGTCGAAATTAGTTTAAATTAGTATTATGTACTTTGATAGACTAGGAAACATTTTTTGGATGTATTATTTGTGGGAATCTATTCGCAGTAATAAGCATTGAACATGCGGAAATTTTTTTTATCAGTATTTTACATTCTAAGAAAGATCTGGGAAACAAAGGCCCGTAATTATAGTCAAAATTAAGTCGATACTGAAGTTAGTTGCAGCTTTTTCCCATTGTCAAAAGGCTGCAATTAACTTTAGAGTCGATTTAATTTTGACTATAACTACGGGCTTTTGTTTTCCAAATCCGTGTCCAAGTATGGGAAAATACTGACTACGTGTTAATAAGTTGGTTAAGGGCCCGAGTTTCTCTTCCATAAATGTACGGTGTAAATAAAAAATAAATATAGTTTAAAAAACTAAAAAACACGCTTTTAAAGCATATCAAACTAAAAAGTAAAAAATGATTCTTAATATAAGTTGAAAATAATAATGAACAAAAAATACTAGTATTATTGTGAAAAAGTGTGGGTTGCTCGATAGACGAAAAATATGGCAAAGAGCGCCCACGCTTTTTCACAATAATACTAGTATTTTTTGTTCATTATTATTTTCAACTTATATTAAGAATTATTTTTTACTTTTTAGTTTGATATGCTTTAAAAGCGTGTTTTTTAGTTTTTTAAACTATATTTATTTTTTACTTTTTAGTTTAATATGCTTTAAAAGCGTGTATTTTAGTTTTTTTAAACTATATTTATTTTAGAAGATACTCGACAATCCTTTTTCCGTGATTACTTTTACTAACGACAGCGAGGTGCAGCAACGAGTAATCTTCTAAGTCATTAATAGTACAAGTTATATTAACAGTTGCACCCCGATTTAGAAGATATTCAAAGATTTCTATTTTGCCAATATAACCAGCGAGACTCAGTGGTGTAACATTAAAATTATTTTTCCCAGTGGCAACACTGCCTCGCACCGGTGCAGGCGCGCCGGCATGTCGAGGACATGGATACTAACTTAATAGAGTTCGATTAGATTGAGTTTTCCTTTCTTTGTAAAATGCGTGCGGCCGGCAACATCATTTTGCTATTGTGAATTTACCTTTGAAAAATGCTTTTTAATAGTTGCTATTGTAAGCGAGCCATGGGGTGACCTGTGTCTGCAATTAACATTCCTTTTCACTTCTTATGTAACGACCGCCGCGGCCGCATCGCACCTGCATTTTCAAGTTTCCGTTTCATAAGCCACTCGTTTAACGTTTATTTAAATTTACTACAAAAACAACTTGTGTTTAATAACTTAAAATATGCAAAAGCTCATTTAAAGTACCATTTTGTGTGTTTTCTTTTTAATCCTTTCGGAAACATTGTTTTTTCCAAAGCCATCCAAGACAATTTCAAATCAAATACGGTGGTTTCCACTACTTTGTTAATCTTAGATAAAAAAAAAATTTTAATGAATTTATCGCAGTTTTATAGAAAAGTTCTAACATAAACAATTTTTAACAAAATAAATATATTTATAAACTCTTGATTGTCTGGAGTATACTTGTATCAGATTCTATAAAATTGTAGTGTTATGGGCACAATCAAGTGTAATGGGCAGATAAATTTTCAGTTTTATATGTTGCAAAAAATCTAATTGAATTATAGGCAAATATATATGCAGTCAAAATCTTCAGAGATAAAGATTTCAAAGGATATTTTACAAATGTTAGTTTCATTTTATTTCAATAGAATAGTTATTAAAATTTAGCAGTATAATGCTCAATTCGCAATTGTTCATGAAAAGACTTTCTTAAATATGTATTATTATTTATTGCTAAAATGAGAATAGTTATCAAGTCAATAAAAAAATTTTAAATAATAAGAAAAGCACTGGCCAGGTTACACTTATTTATTAGGTAATTGTGCAACGAAGTCAGCTATGATTTCTTTTTTTCCATATGGAATCAATATGATATCGACCATACTAAGAAAACATGTTATATATGCTTTTGGAAAGTGTACTTAATTGTCCAAAAAACAACAAATTTTTCACTGGCGTTACACTTAACATTGGCGGTACACTTCATTACGACTTAATAGAAGTTCTAAACAACTTTATCACTAATTTGGAACGTATCCTGTTAAACTAATTTATTTTCTATCGCTCAGAACTTAATCGACCAAGATAAATCAAGGAAGGCTTATATTTTCGTACTTTTCCCTTTTGAATTATCGTAAACTTGTTTCAGGTTTGTGAAAAATCCTTCGAGAAAAGGAGCAAAATATTTAACACAAAATGCTTGGCATTATAAGAATTAGTGTCAGAAGCAGCGGACAGATATAGTGGATACTAATAATCACTATTATGTACAATATTTGAAAGAAAGAAAAAATCGGGCTGGTTTACCTTCCTGTGGAATCGACCGTATGTATGTATGCATGTTGCCGTAAACCAAATTGCAGTGGATAGCGGGTAACGGGCTGACGGGTACCCGCTGTCAAAATTATAACACATTGAATGGCATGAAATTGCACAGAATTTCGGCGGGGACGGATTTCTTGCCGTCTGTTATTTTTACGGCGGGAAAATATTTAGATTCATTTCTATTTTTCCCGTCGGGTCGAAGACTCAGGGTTGCTTTTCTGACCATTTAATGTCAATTTGCTTGTTTACATACAAAAGCAGGCAAACAACAAGCACGCAATATTTATTAAATTTGAATAATATAATAAATTTAAAAGGAAGTTAAGTTTTCTTCATTTGGAACAATGAGCTTCAACGAGTTGTTGATAGAGGAAGTGCGAAAATATGGGTGTATCTACGACTTATCTCTGAAGGACTACCGAAATGTGGAGGAGAAGGACAAAATTTGGGAGGAGATTGGGAAAGTGCTAAATGCAAGCTGTAAGTATTATGAAGTGCGCAATGTGCGAGGTAGCTTCATGCTCGAGACAGGTCATGTGGCCACCGGGAAATACCAGCTGAACCTCGTCACAGCCGCCGTGCTGAAGACGTGCTGTGGTGCCGCTGGATTTTTGGTGGAGGTGGTGTTGGTGTTGTTATTGGTGCAGTTGTTGTTGTTGATGATGCTGCGGGCACTGCAGCCTCCTATCTTCTACATCAACGCCAGCATTCCCAGCCGGCAGTTTTAGATGTAAAATGTTTAGAAGCGCGTTCCCACAATAAGTGCATTCCAGCGGTGGTAAGGTTAGGAGGTTTTACAGGAAAAGCTGTTTTTGTCGACAAGCTTTTTTAAAAACGAAGCAAATTAGTACAAATTGTTAGTAATTTTCTTTAGAGTTTGAGTAACTCCTTTCACTTAATGGCTTTTAGTAACTTTAACGAGACCTTAACTTATTTTATTTTATTAATTTTAGTGCAGTTTTGACAAAATTTTCTTGCTAAAAAATCTTTTGTTACACTNAATTTTGTCCTTCTCCTGCACATTTCGGTAGTCCTTCAGAGATAAGTCGTAGATACACCCATATTTTCGCACTTCCTCTATCAACAACTCGTTGAAGCTCATTGTTCCAAATGAAGAAAACTTAACTTCCTTTTAAATTTATTATATTATTCAAATTTAATAAATATTGCGTGCTTGTTGTTTGCCTGCTTTTGTATGTAAACAAGCAAATTGACATTAAATGGTCAGAAAAGCAACCCTGAGTCTTCGACCCGACTGGAGAAGATTTATAAGCAAATTTAACGAAAGCCGAAGCATCGAAAATTGAAGCAGCGAAAGTCTAAAAGTGAACAAACGAAAGTCGAAGTAGTGAAAGCAGCACAGCTATACACCGAGAAGCGCACAGCTACAGAAACAGCAGAAATCCGTAAAGAGGAGAAGATTTATATATGAAATTAACGAAAGCCGAAGCATCGAAAATTGAAGCAATAAAAGTCGCACAGCTATAGACAGAAGATAATAGCAATAGAGTCAACAGAAAGGAGTAAGAAGGGCGAGTAATTTCAAAACAGAAAGTTAAAGAGGTACCAATAGATTGTAAGTATGCATAGGAATATCTAGAAATTGAAAGAATTGAAAGCGTTGCTATAAAAAAAACCTTGGTCAATGCGTGAGAGTAAATAGGAAAACAGATTACTTTGCAGGTCAAAACTTTTAAGAATATCGTAATCAAAACAAACAAAGATGAATTGAATTAAATATTTTACTGTGCATGTATACAAGCAAGAAATTTGAATAACTACTTTATACGTACACATATACGTATATACGTATGCCAGCAACTTTCAAAATATTAAATAAGCATTTTGTAAGCAACTTGTAATTCAATATGTGATTTTATGTTAACATGTAAATCAGCCTTAATAGGGAAACCACCTTGTATAAGAAACACAACTCTGTAATAGAAACACAACCCTGTAAAACTAATAAAGAAAGAAAGAAGAGAGAAAATGAATAAAGAAAGAAGATGGCTGATTTCCGGTCGGCGATTATTCTTCGTGACTTAAATCGATCAACAATTGTTTTAATTAAATCTTTGAACATCGTCGATAATTGGAAGAGGAAATAGTAATTTACAACTCAGGTGTATAACCGAACCCAAACGCAGCAAGAAAACATTATATTTCACTATGGCCGATGCCAGGGAAAACATTATAAGTGTTTTAAACGCCAACAACGTGGATTTTCCTCCGACCGCCACAACTATGCAACTCCGCCGTCTGGTACAAAACATAATTGGTGGCGAACAGGAAATTAATATTCAGACGAATATTACAACCACTAATAATGACGATTCTGCCGAAATTATAAATGATTTGATTTCTGCCGCTGCCGGCGTCGTGATTGCTACTGATATCACTGCTGTTTGCTCTGCCGCTCCTACTGTCGGCATCGTGACTACTATTAATACCACTGCCGCTCCCACTGCCGGCATCATGTCTACTATTAATACCACTGCCGCTCCCACTGCCGGCATCATGTCTACTATTAATACCACTGCCGCTCCTACCGCCATTTCTACTGCCGCTCCTACCGCTGTTTCTACTGCCGCTCTTACCGCCGTTTCTGCCCACAGCACTGCCGTTCCTGCTGCTCTTACTGTCACCACTGCTGGCTTACTGAATGAGTTGGGTATCGCTCAAGGCACCGATGTTGCCTCTAACCTGTATACTGCCGCCGCTTCGAATGCTACTACTGCCGTTGACGCTGCTACGGTAAATGTTACTGACGTCAATACAGTCAACTCTGCAACCTCCACTTCCGGCTCTGCCGCAACTAGAACAATCGCCACTGGAGCTGTGCCCAAAACAAATACTTCAAGTTTGGATGATGAACTGATGGAATTACGCAAACGTCTTGAGGTAATAAAATTGATAAAAGAGATAGACGACATGAAGGCTGGCACCGTTCTACAACAACAGCGTAGAGTAATTTCGCAGACGTGAGCACGCTATCCCAAAGTTTAGTGGGGATGACGTATCATTACGGTTGAACACTTTCTGCAAGATTTTGAAGAGGTGATGGAGTCGTCAGGAGTGGATGAGCGATTCAAATTATTGGCTCTTCGTCGTTGCCTTATTGGAACCGCAAAGGTTTTCCTGTCCACGACAAAAGCACTTAATTATGGTGAGCTAAAAAAAGCTCTTTAATTGAATTCGACGTGCCGGTGCAGAGACATGAAGTGTACAAAATGCTATCTCAACGGAGTGGGATAAGAAAAAAGAATCCTACATTGTTATGTTCTATCAATGCAAGCCATAGCAAAACGGGCAAGCATAGGCGAGGCAGAGGTCATCGATTTCATAATAGACGGCATAGGAAGCGGTGCCAAATGCGCACATACTTCTCCAGCTAGAACACTGGACGAGCTGAAAACGTTGGTCAGCCGGTTCCAGAGGAAATATTTTCCGTCAGAACCAACAGTGGTAGTGAAGCAACCAACTGCAGCAAGAACAAATATGGCAAACCGGTGGCAGGACCGAAATGTTATAACTGCTCCAAAGACGGGCATATCAAACCACACTGCCCGTACCCATTACGGCCGAATGGATCATGCTTCCGGTGCTGGCGATGGGCCACGATCATCGTTCCTGCAAAAATCCAGCTAAGGTACTGAAGCCTCGCAATGAGGTGGCAGCCATAGGTGATGAAGACGATAATCAACCATTGGGGGATGTAGTTAATGCATTCAATTTTGTGAGTATCACATTTGACTTAGATCAAGGTTAAATTTCTGATACACTTTTTTCTTTATTTGATACCGGTAGTCGGTTAGTTTCGTACGGAAATCTTACTCCCAAAACAATTGGTCGAGAATCTAAACCAGGGAAACCCCCCAAGATACAAAGGCATCGGGGGAAAGAATTTCATATTATTAATAAAATATCTTGTTATGTAAAGTTTAATAAAAAACTGAATAAAATTGAATTGAACGTTATACCTGATGATGCTATGGTTATACCAATTATTTTGGGACGCGATTTCCTCAGTATATTTAATATCAGATTAACGAAAATCAAGACAAAAGGTAAACAAGTTACTGATGTAGGGGGCAAAAGTAATTTAGATTTGCCCGAGACTCCTCAACTTGTAATTGGTTCTAAAGCATCCTCATTCATGGCGCAGTCCAGTTTTGATGAAAACAAACACCTTTCGGAAATTTAACTGCCGATAACTGCCGGGAAAAGATTAATGCCAGCCGATTGGTTTACCTGATATATTTCACATAGACATTCCTTATGACAGAACGAGGTTGATATAAATGACGTTCTTACAAAGGATGAAAGTTTTAAATTGAAACAAATTATACAGTATTTACCTTAACCCTAATATGAAATGTGAACCTCTTAAATATGAAATGAAAATTAGACTAAAAAGTGAGTTCCCTTCTACTGTAGTCCTCGTCGACTGTCGTACCTTGAACGTAGTGAAGTACGAAATATCTTAGATGAACTTTTGAATGAAAACATAATAAGACCAAGCGACTCTCCATACGCCTCTGCCATTGTGCTGGTCAAGAAGAAGACCGGGAAAACTAGAATGTGTGTGGATTACAGGCCACTCAACAAATTAACCCTTAGGGACAACTACCCATTGCCGCTTATTGACGACTGCATAGAGTATTTACAAAACAAAAGATTCTTTTCGGTGCTGGATTTGAAAAGCGGATTTCATCAGGTCCAGATGGCTTCTGATTCTATACCATATACGTCTTTCGTAACCCCGCATGGACAGTTTGAATACCTGAAAATGCCATTTGGGCTGAAAAATGCTCCGCGGTATTCCAAAGGTTTATCAACAACATTTTTCGAGATATGTTAGAGAGAAAAAAATTATTATTTACATGGACGATATAATTATCGCCACTGAAAGATTTGCAGAACATGCCGAACTTCTGAAATTGGTATTAGAACGAATCACGTTACGCACTCTGAAACTTAATTTAAATAAATGTAAGTTTGGTTATAAAGAAATTGACTATTTAGGTTACAAAGTTACACATGAGGGAATATCACCTAGTAATTCTCATATTAAAAGCATACAGAATTTTCCGGTACCTACGAATTTGAAGCAACTACAGTCATGTCTAGGAATGTTTTCGTATTTTCGAAGATTTGTGCCGTCGTTTTCAGAAATTGCTAAGCCCCTGCAGAATTTACTTAAAAGGAATACCCAATTTCACTTTCATGACAGATGCCATGATGCTTTCCGGGAGCTGAAGTCTAGGTTGGTTAAGAGCCTTGTTTTGGCTATTTATAATCCTAATAAGGAAACTGAATTGCATTGCGATGCCAGCAGTATCGGGTTTGGGGCAGTCTTACTGCAACGCCACGAAGATAACAAATTTCACCCGATATCGTATTTCTCCAAAACTGCTTCTGGCCCTGAATCAAAATATCACAGTTTCGAACTGGAAACGTTGTCTATAGTGTACGCACTAAGAAGATTTAGACATTATTTGGAAGGTATACCGTTCACATTGGTCACCGACTGTAATTCCCTCGCGATGACCCTCGATAGGAAACAATTAAACCCTAGGATAGCCAGATGGGCTCTTGAATTTGAAAACTATAACTATAAAATACAGCACAGGAAGGGTGTCTCAATGGGTCATGTGGATGCTCTGAGCAGGAGGCAAATAGCGGCAATCATAAATTCAGATGAGGTGGAATTTCGAATTCAGGTAGCACAAGAAAGAGACCCAGAGATTCGATCTGTACGGGAACGGTTGGAGAAAGAGGAACTAAAAGATTTTAATTTGATTGACGGGTTGGTATATAGAGTTAAACCAAACGATAAAGACGCGCTTTATGTACCATATGAGATGGAGAATAACGTCATAACGCTGATACACGAAAAGATGGGTCACTTATCGTTAGACAAAACTCTCAATAAGCTAGGTCTTTATTATTGGTTTCCGAAAATGCGCGGGAAAGTCGAAAAGTTTATAAAGAATTGTTTAAAATGCATTATGTATGCCAGCCCTCCTCATGTTAAGGAGAAAGCGTTATATCCCATTCCCAAGACGCCTTTACCGTTTGATACGATTCACATTGACCATTTTGGACCCCTGCCGTCATTAAAGTCAAAACGTAAGCACATTTTGGTCGTGGTAGATGCCTTTACTAAATTTGTCAAGTTGTATCCGACGAACTCCACAAGCACTCGAGAGGTCACAGCAGCCCTTGGGAAATATTTTAATTACTATAGTCGCCCAAGACGCATTGTGAGCGATAGAGGGACCTGCTTCACTTCTCTCGAATTTTCCGCCTTCTTGTTGAAAAATAATATAAATCATGTAAAAGTCGCGGTGGCATCCCCTCAAGCTAATGGTCAGGTAGAAAGGGTGAACAGGGTATTGAAGGCAATGTTAGGGAAGTTGACTGATGAAATAAACCACGACGACTGGGTTCAGAGATTATTGGAGGTCGAATATGCGTTAAATAACTCTGTTCACAGTACGTGCAAGGAGACTCCGAGTCGGCTGTTGTTCGGGGTGGAGCAGAGGGGCGTAATAGTTGATGAATTCACCGAGTACTTTCAGGATAAGCTTTGTCCAGACAGTAATAGGGATTTGGAAATTTTGCGCAATGATGCATTAAGTCGAATTGAAGCAAAGCAAGAATATGATTCTAAACGAGCTTCTCAAGGTGGGACCGCGACCAAGACGTACGAAGTAGGGGATTATGTTGTTATAAGGAATGTCGACAATACTTGCGGGAGTAATAAAAAATTTATTTCTCTGTATAAAGGTCCGTACGTCATACACAAAGTGCTCGGTCACGATAGGTATGTTATACGGGACATTGATAATTGCCAGCTCACACAACTGCCATATGATGGAGTTGTGGAGGCGTATAGGATCAAAAGCTGGCCTTCGTTACCTGAAGGGGAGGCAAACGAACCAAATGAGGATCCTTTAGAGATTAGTTAGCTTTAAGCCGTACTGTATCGCGGTCGATTACAGTGTCAGATTGGCCGAGCTGTAAGCAACTTGTAATTCAATATGTGATTTTATGTTAACATGTAAATCAGCCTTAATAGGGAAACCACCTTGTATAAGAAACACAACTCTGTAATAGAAACACAACCCTGTAAAACTAATAAAGAAAGAATGAAGAGAGAAAATGAATAAAGAAAGAAGATGGCTGATTTCCGGTCGGCGATTATTCTTCGTGACTTAATACGATCAACAAGTGTTTTAATTAAATCTTTGAACATCGTCGATAATTGGAAGAGGAAATAGTAATTTACAATTTATAAAAATGTTAGAGTGAAGTTAATTTGATTGAATACTGAGAAAAGTAGGAGAAACTAGTAAACGCAACATTGCTACATTGTAAGAAGAGGATAACAATATAGTCAGCAGAAAGCAGTAAGACTGGCGAGTAGCTACAAAACACAAAGTGGAAGTGGTACCAACAGATAGTAAGTTTAAGAATATTTGGAAGTAGCAGAGCCAAGAGCATTGCTATTAATTATAGGTACATATTTCAATATGAAAGAGTAAAGAGGAAAATAGATTGCTTTGAAGATCATAAGTTTGAAATATAGTAATCAAAACAAACAAAGACAACCGAAGTGAATATTCTAAAGCGGATGTGCACAAGCTTGAAATTTACATAACTACGATATATGCTTATCGTAACTTTTAAAATATAAAAAAATATCTACCACTATCAAAGTCAAGATTATCTGAATGAATATTATACAATTCTACAAAATTTAACTTTTTAATATTATCTGCCTAAATAAAGCGTTAAAAATTACATACTAAAAGATTATTTATAACAACGATTGTTGTAACAAACTTATAATTATATTATTATATTATACTTTTAATTTAACCGCATATTCTTGAACTAAATCTTAACATTTATAACTTTGTAAGACCATGGACGCCCAGACGATCTTAGTAATGACTTTAAAATAAAATTTGAGGCGGGTTGACTTAAGCGTACAAGGACGTAATAGTGGACTTAGGGACAGACTTCTTCGGCATTATGAACTCCTACAGAGCGACGGTGAAGAAAGCGAAAGAGAATCAGCTTATGAACAAGCAGTCAATCATACTACACAAACCGTAGTGATGAGACCTAACTTTACTTTAAAGGACATTCAGGACAGCCTACCCTCGTTTACCGGAACCGACACTTTAGACGTTTATGACTGGGTACAGTAGTTCGAAGATAACGCTATTACATTAGGTTGGAGTGAAAGTATGTGTACGCAAAACAGCTACTTAAAGGGACAGCCAAGCTATTCTTGCGCAGTCAGGCTGGTATTAAGGACTGAAATTCATTAAAATCGTCTGTCATTGATGAGTTCGGCAGACAATTATCCTCGCTTGATATTCATAGAATGTTGCAAAGTCGTCGTAAAAAGAGCTGTGAGTCTTTCAACGAGAATTTGTATACTCTTATGGAAATAGCAGAGCCAATAAAATTAGATGAAGTTAGTTTAATTGGGTATATTGTGGAGGGTATTCCCGATTCAAGAGCGAATAAAATTATACCGTATCAGTCACAAACTATTAAAGATTTAAAAGAAAATCTGAAGGTCTACGAAAGGGTTCATGGTTCGCGACTGTCATCAAACAGATCGCACTATGGTCAAAATACACCCAAGGCATCAACCTCACAAAGTAGTACAGAAGGACCGAAAAAATGTTACAAGTGCTCATCTACCTCGCATCTGGCAAAAGATTGTAGCAATGCGAGTAAACAGTATAAATGTTTCAAGTGTGGTCAAGTAGGACACCGAAGTTTTGAGTGTATGGGAGGTTCAGGAAAACAAATAAAAACGTTAACACCATGC